AAAGACAATATGCAAATCACGACTGAGTAATTTAAAGTTGTCTAAATGCTGCCAAGCTTGGCTTAAGGGCTTGGGATCTGATAGGACATCTTTGTATAGCAAGGATGAGATCCAGACAGACCTTCCAGCCACTCACAAGGAGCACCCCCCCCCCTTCCACTCCCCCCCCAATGTCAACATTACTTTACTTTCCAAACTACTCCGGGGTGTGTTTTATCCCCTCCTGGGCTCCCAGGACTGCATCGCGCTGGCAGGTGTCTGTCATGCCAAATCCTGTCCTTCCCAGTCCTTCCAAGCTGCGTGCAAATGCACATGCATGCATGCCAGAGAAGAGGCAGCCAGCTAGCTGGACAGGCATCCTGGTAGACAGACAGACAAACTTTGTCAGGCTTTATTACACATAAACAGCAATGTGGTTCCTCGCTCCATTACCAGTGGCAAAGCTCATCTCAAAGCCCCCCTGCTGTCCTAAAGGGCGGGTTTGGGGTTGGGGAGAACCCTGTGTAACCTCTAGAAAAACGGGTCCCCTTCCCAAGTGTCAGGGGAAACCAGGCTCCAGCCTTGCAAACGCTCTTGGAGTGGCTGCAATTAAGCGTCTTTATCTCTAGCTCGCGCTAAGCAGAGGGGCAAGGGAGTCGGGCTAATCCCTTGTACTGCTAGATCACAATTATAGTTGAAAATCATAGCTTGCAGGGCATTGCCATATTTTACTTGATAACAATAAAAGTGACACATAAAGTTAACTGTTTATGTTTTATTTATTAGACTAAATGTGCCAGCGGTGTCGGAGGCTTTTGGCTCGTTGTTACAGCTTTTATGGGGTTGTAAAACGCTATAAATCAGTCACATGAAATGGTTGAAGTTCCTTGCGCTCTTGGCTGGGACTTCTGTTTGCGGTAGCTGCTGTTTTTTCTCGAGAGCAAAAGTAATAATGGGATTTTATTTTTATTATTATCTTCCCTCCCCGCCCCCATCATCGTTATTATTATTTGCTCTGCATTTAACAAGTCCCTTCCCTCCCCCCCCCCCCTTCCTTCCAACCCTTGCACCCGCCCGTGTTTGCACTCAGCCTGGTTTGGACTTGAATAACTACCTTTTACAATGACATAAGCAGGATTTGAGAATTTAATTAGAACCGCTGCAATTAAGGGAATCAAAGGCAAGCAGAACTTTACAAGGCTTTGGCATCGTCCATATATTCCCCTAGAGACGAATTTGTGACTCTGAAATGTTCACACAAATTCGATTCTACAGGGTACATATAGGCGACTGTGGACTATGGCACTTGTGATGCTGAGTAAGAAGGGGAGCAAAGGGAAATGAACTGCAATTCCTGTTCTCTGGCTGGAAGGGGGGAAGGAAAAAAGTTGGAGACTAATTTAGCGTGTGGCTTTAAGTGTTTACAGATCCAGTCTGCTGTTGCATATGTATGACTGAGATCACTGCAACAAAGCCCCAGACCTCAATATTTTGGCAATGGTACATAGTACAATTCATTTGCTATTTTTATCTTCGCTTAGCAGTTATTGTTTTTATTGGCATCTCATTTCCCTGACTTGACTAAGTACTTACCCCGGGCATGGAAGAAAAAAAAATAAAAGGAAGGTGTCTTCTTTATTAAAGTTATATATATATATATATA